AAATGAACAAGCACAAAGATATCAAAGTGTCAGCTGATGGATATTTCGAGTCATCGATTTAAATCTCCGATGGGTCTATAAAAATGAAAATGTCTTATCTATTACGGAGCCCTCGATCCATTGGAAACTGGCACTCTGAACAGTTGGTCTGGAATATTGATGGTCATCGAGAGATCCTTCTCGAAGAGTTTCGAGGAAATCGAAATTTGAGAAACCTTTTAAAATGATATTCACTAGATGCCTCATTTCGGAGCAGTCGATATCTATCGAATAAGCGCAGAAGAGATGATTGCAACATGAATACTTACGATTAAAAAACTTGCATCTAGTGTCTAAACTTAATATGAACTATTCTGCTTCAAGAAAAACATCTTTTCTATTTATATAAGAAAAAAATCCAATAGCTTTCTTTCGCTTTTTTAAATCTTGTCTCTTAGCGAAGGTACATCGAGGATTCGAAAGTATCTTTCTGATAGGTTTTTCTTTTTTGAGTGCTCGGACTTTCAATGGGTTTCGAGTGATCGAAATATGTCCAACAAGTCGAAAATAAGTGTCTGATGAGACGAACTTTTTTGGGTTCCATTTTCGACGACTACAAAGAAACTCGAAAATCGAAGAGAACGAGCAAAATTCGTTTATCTTAAACATCCGACCACTTATCGCGCCCATTGAACGCTTTTCAAGATCTGTTTGAGATGAGTAATACAAAATTCACGTCTGTCATTTCTTTCTTTTCTTTTTTCCTATCTATATATGAGCATAATCAATTGTTAGCAATGTAACTTCGCAAAATTAAACTATGTATATTTCTGGATAATAAACTTACCTGTAGCTGGTTTTTATATGCAATGTGTATGCTAAGTCACTACAGATATCCTCGAAAAAGTAGTCCTATAGAGCTTTGGCCAGAGGAGTTTTTAGTAAAAAACTAGCGTTACCTGCGTGACACGAAAAAGGATAGCAATTGTCACTGGATGCATTTCGGTTTAACAAATCTGCAAATTGAGGCTGCATTTTAGAAAACTAGACACTACATTCTGTAGACAAATCTTAAGGCTACAAAATCTTTATGCAATATGTTTTCTGAGTATGCCAGGAATTGTGGAAAACATTGATTTACTTTTTGTCAGCAACATGACTGAGTATGGGTATAGCAATGAAAAAATGCTCTTATAATCGAATGAAAAGTTCGAAAGTAATTCCTAACGGTTCAAATCCTTCCTCAGAGTCTCTAGAATATCCTAAGAGACAAATTTTTGTTTCAAGACTTGGCAGAATCTAAAAAAAAACGAATTTTTCGGAAGAAATTGTTTCAAGTCCTGTCTTGCTAAAAAATTCAGCGTAGATGCAGCTCTTGTCATGCAATCTATATGAAATTTTTCGTATGTTTTTTCTCGTATGGTTAATGAGCTATTCGCTAATTACTTGTTAATTCATTGTTTGATTAATTAAAATTAATTGTCAGCTGAAACAGGGAACATTTTCACCTATGTCTATACCAAAACAACTCATTTAGAAACATAATCCTCGTAAGAAATTATAATCAAATGATAGGAAGATATGTCCCAGTTTGCTCACATATTGTAATACCAGTAGAAACAAAGAAAGAAAAGAAGAAAAAATATTCTAACTTTTGCCGTCTTATCTGTATCAGTATCTCAATATATATATGTCAGCGTTCAAACTAAAATTACGTCCAACCTTAGATTGGCTTAGGCGAATGTCAGATCCGAGATTGGACACGTCCAATGTCGGATTGGCGCAATCTGTTCACTAAAATATCAATTACTCGTTAGACAGACGTTGAATTCGAACTATTTTTTGAAATTATGTTCGCACAATGCCGTTTTAAGTAGTACAAGCATTTAGGAAGAAGCTAAATTTAGACTCAAAAATTTAATAAAAATTTTTCATCAAAGTTGTTGTTCTCTAGAAATCTATTCATAACTCCTAAAATTTTACTAAAATCTACCAAATGACAATTGTGCCAAACAAACTGGCATTGTGTGAACATAACTCCAAAAAACAATTCGAATCCAACGTCTACCTAAGGAGCAATTGATATTTTAGTGAACAGAATTGCGTCAAATCTCGGATCTGACATTCGCCTAGGCCAATCTAAGATTGGACGTAATCTCAGTTTTGGTGTTGACATATTTATATATATAGATAAATAGATAGAAGAAAGGAAAAGAAAGAGAAAAGAAATGGTAGATTTGACAATTCTATCAATCATCCTTGTGCTTATTCATTTTATTATATATGTTGATGTTTTTTCAAGAAAATCGATTTTATTGATCAAAATGTTAGATAAAAATATTTTCAAATAAAGAAGAAAAGAAAGAGTGTCTTTTTACATGAACTTGTCTACAACCTTCCTCAATCACACAAGAATCATAGTATCTCTATCGTATTTGTAGAATATGTTGATAGATTGTATCAAATGGAAAATCGTAAGATCAAACTGATCGATTTCACTGAAACAAAGTGCGTCGCAGATAAAACAGTATACTTAACGAGAACCTTACGAACATCACTTGTCAAGTAGTGTCTTCAGTATGAATGTCGCTGATACACAATCATTCAGAGCGATGTTACAAAGTGCGCGTTAAAGAGAATCTACAAGAAGTGATGTTGTATTGTCACGAAAACACTTTTGACGGCACTAAGGAAGATGTTGTGGACGATGTATAGTCAGAAATTTGATGTGAATGACATGTAACGGTTTCTCTAATATTAATAAAATTATCTGATGGATCTTTTTGTGTTCTGTTAAACTTCGTTGTTTATCAGAAAATTGGTTAAATGAACCAATATCAGATTAAACTACTGAATTCATATGCACTGAATGTATTTCAATGTCTACTAAAACCAATAATTTGTTTCACTCAGAAAGATTATCAACACCAGCGAATATGAGAGCTACTGTTTTGTCACAAGTTGCTGATCAGAACAAGAAACGTCGAAGCATAATCAACTTATCAATGCTACGTTCAAACATTTTTTATTTCCTGTGAGACATCAAAATGACTCTCTATACTAGAGTAGTAGGCGATTGAGAACGATGGTTTTGATTGTTTTGTATTTTATTGCCTAGACTTGAAAAAGTTCTTGAAATGAGAATCGAAATAAAGAAGCTTTGTTGAAATCCATTGTTTATACACCTTTATTGAGCGATTTATGAAGAAAATCATATTGGATATACGCTAGGATAGTATTACTCGTTTAATATGTTTTCTCAAATCTCTTATTGTATTTCAATTTCTACCCATCATTTTTAAGTCTTTTACGATGTATCCGTCAACTTTCTCTTCACTTCTACACTATCTAGACAAGTTGATAGACACAATGAAAACATAATTGACACTTAGAATGTCAAGCAGAACTTCAACAATTCATGAATATAGAACAGTGCATGGAATACTTCGAATAATAATATAACAAGTTACTCATTCGGTTTTTATATAGGATGTTGTACACTGCTGCCTACTTATATATTTGCACAAGTGCCATTTCATAGGTCAGCGTATTTGCTACAGCTTTGCCTATCTGATAAGAAAAAAGCATCAATTAATCGGATGTAACATAGCGTATGAAGGTACCAATATTTGTGGAGTTATATTGTGTTACTGTGCCACCGACCGATTAGGTACAAAAAGACGACTTTTTTATCAGCAAATGACCGAATATAAGTCGTGCAAGCTATTAGATCAGATAAGGTAATTATATAGATGAAGGAATTGATTAATTGCAGAAATGAATACGAGCTCTGCAGAAGATGACAGATACATTATAGGAAAACAACGCTCGGAGCCTAATGGCTTTAGCTAAACAAGGTTATCGTACTTTTTGATTGATGGTCATTTAATGTTTTCAGAATAGGATTTGTTTCACTTTTTCATAAACTAGCATAGGTAACAATGAGAATAACAGTAGCAAAAAATTATCTTCTACTCCGATTTCACTCTCGAAGATTGAATGAGTTAACACGAGTGTTGACACAAGAGAGGATTATACTCACAATAATATCACATCCACATCTGTAAGATTTTTATGCAACCAACTCGAGTGACATACAATGGATTGTTTGAAAAGCGCATTTTTCATTAAACAGTTATTCCGATTTCAAGAGATTAAATATTAATTTATTTTAAAAGAAATATATGTATTTATATATATATCAAGCGTGTTCCATAAGTATCGGCCCTGTTTTTATTCTTTTTTATCTTTGCTGTTTTAAAGGTGAATAGGCATTGGCAACATATTTTTGAGCAGTGACATCTAAACTCCCATCCAATACAAATTGCACTCATTTGCATTAAACCTGATATAATATCACATTAGTAAAAGTATTGATAAAATTGTATCAAACCTTTATTTAGCATTAATATTAATATTTTTCAATATGAGAGATACTGTTATGAAAGTCTGTGTCGAAAATATCAAAGTAGCACAAGTGAACTAATCTGATCGTTGTTCGTTGTATATCAAGATAAGAATATGATTAGTTTTAAAATAATAGACAATCCATTTTTATGGTGTCGAAAAAAATCCGATTGAAATTTTTCAGGTCGTAGTGACATTTAGTAAGTCATAATGAGTCACTAGGACTTGCTTCGTGTCAATCTTTCATACATGTAATTCCTTATGACACACATCCATTAAATATAGAGTTTATAAACTTTTATCCCTTTAATTTGAGCAAGACATTGTATTCCTGTTGTTTCATATATGTACGCAAAAATGAATTTTTACTGATTTGAATAGCATACAACAAAAGTGGCTCACACAAAAAACTTGATAATACTTTTTTGAATATTTTTCCTAATGTAACACATTGAGTACAATTGTTCTTGGGTGATTGGTTAGATGTTATTCTTCAAAAATATATTATCAATATTCATTTACCTATAAATATGGCAAAAATATAAAAAACAATCAAAATCAAAACAAAACTGTCATATAAAATTCTTGATACAAATCAATTGTTAATACTTGAATCAAACCGGACTAATAAAAGCAGCTGGATCAATTTTAACTGCTTTTTTTGGCGATATTGAACTACGCTCAGGTGTTGCATATGATGATTCTGCTTCTATATTTGAGTCGGAATTTGAATGTCTCTCATCATTTTTTCTAATATTTATTTTAAGTGCGTTTATTACATTACTAGTACGCGTTGGTAAACGAACACTATCAAAGACATACTTCCGATAAATTCGTGATTTTTTCGATAAATAGAGTAGAAAAATATCGCAAACAAATGTTGCTAAACCAAACAGTCCGATTATTGAACCGACATTTAAACTTAATTCAATCAAATCAAATTTTCCAGCTTTACCATTAACAGTAATTATAAAACGAAGACCATGAGCTTTTGTTAATACACGAAAATATTCTTCATTATGTTTCCAAGAAGTAGTGTAACGAAAATTAAAACCACGTGAAAATGGTTTTTCATGAAAAGGTACATCAAGACGAGCGAATGAATATTCAGGTTTACATCGTTTTATTTTTCGATCTAAATTACAATCCCAATCAATTTTAATACGTATAACACCACCATGACGTAAAATTAAATCATGTTCAGTAATATTTTTTTCTGCTTCATCCATTATGTAACCAATAGAAAATATCGGGCAATCTTTATGATGTTTTGGATGAAAAGTACATTGTTCTAAATTATCAACCATATTTTTATGCTTAACATTGAATGTTGGAAATTCAATAAAATTCTTAATAAATATTGTAAAATTACGAGTTTCTTGAACACGCATTTCCGATGATCGATAATCTTCTGGTGGACACCAACCTATAAAATTTACTATATTTGTAAGAAAAGAGAATTTGAAAAGCTTTTAAAAATACTTCGATTAACGAATTTTTATTCACATAGTAACTTCTGATGAATAAATAAATGCTATTAATAGTCATTTAATCGATAATAAAAAAGAGCGTTGTTGTCTTATTCGAGGACAAAGACTATTTGCATTTGCATCATAATTGACCTTTACAAGTCGATATTGTAAGACACAAAACTCATATTCTTCAAACATAACAAGTGAAATCTATTGAGCTCAACAATTGAAACACAAGCAAACAAAAAAAAGTTATTTTAATTGAATAATATTGTAAATTTTGTTTAACTATTTACACGGTTTCTCATAAAAAGAACAAACTTTCAGATATCGACACTCTAACATAATAATACTTTGCATTCTTCAAACTCCGTAGTCCTTAGTGGTATACATTTTCATTAAAACTTAGTGCTTAGAAAAATGACCATGTATTCTGCAGGATGGAATAGCGTAGATCTGTAGTACGTTATAATTAAAATATATGGCATCAAGCGCTACGGAGTGTTGCAATTATTTATATAAATAGGGTCTATTTAGGATGATTTTAGTAGTATATTTGGATGAGAATTGAAATGTCGGCCTTCGTATTATAACTTTCAAATCATTTATGTTTTGAAGATTTGATCTCAACATACAAAATATCGCAAGCGTATTTGGAAAATTCATCATTTAGGTTATTTATACTTGTATACTAAACATCCTGTCAGATACTGTTTAAATGATACAAATTCAAAACATAATCCTAAAACAATATGGTAAAACACGATCTAAAACTAATGTGAAAGGATGGAAGATAAAAATTCATACCTCCCCCTCCTCTCCACCATGATAAACAATGACAGACGAGATTGACAGATCATGACAGATACCTCAGTAATACTTTCCTCATTCCTCGTGTAAGAGACTCCGACAAATGTTATTGATATAATATGATCACAGACTGCGCGCAACAGGTGATTTAGCAACACTTAGTGTCCGACTCGGACAGGATTGGGTCATAGTATTTAATCTATCGTTGGACACTGACAACATTTCTTTCTGTCACATCACAGACTGTGATAGATGTTCTTGAGATATGATCAAAGACTGTGTATCAATAACCTCTCTTTATAATATATGAGCTATTTTCTTATTGAATTTCTCTAGGATTAAGTCAAAGGACGGTGAAAAAATATGTTCCTAGATCATTTCACAATGATTAACAACAACAACTACATCTGATTCGACATATTAATCTCGCAAGTATTATGCTAACAGCCGTCTTAGTGGTTTTTTGTTTGCAAATATCTAACTATTTCGTTAATATACAAATAATTCTTTGTTAAATTTTGCAAACTGAATAACAAGTTTACCTGCATATTCACATAAGCCCATTGTAGTTTTTGTATTATTTGTTATTCTATTGAAAATATTCGTTGTTGGTGGTAACAAACATCGACCTGTCCAACGCCCATTCATACTCGGTGTAAATGGTTTATTGAAACAATCACTATCATTTTTACATTTTGCTTCTTTAAGTTTTTTACTTTCAGCACATGTAGATCGTTTTTGATCAGTTTGAATAAAATTTGTCATTATAAATATAGCATTATTCTCTGATGGTGGAATAATATAATCTATTAAAAGAAAATAATGAGTCGATTTTCAACATGATTCTTTGTTTTTTTTTTCAATATACCTGCTCCATCAATAGTCATTGTTTGATTTTCTGGTGCATGAACATAGCCAATGCCTTTTACTTTAAGTGTCACTGATGATATAGCTGCTGTTTCTTGTTTCTGATAACCCTTTTCATATATAAGTAAATATATTACAGAATAAATAAGAATAATTATTTGTGTAATACGAAATAAAATACCATATTTTACGTTATGTATTACAACTAATTTTGGTGTTTCATATTCGATAAAAAAATCCGTTGCAGCACGTTTCAAAGATTTTCCAACACGATGACGATCATGGAAAACTGAAATTGCATGCATTTCTTACAATAAAATGTATTATATATTCTAGAATAGAATTAATAATAATAGTTTGATATGATTAATTTTCATATTTATCAAGTAAGATAAGGAAATATGCATGTATCTACATGAAACGTATACTACTTTAAATTCAGTAAAATAGTGTAACTGCAAACACGATGAAAAAACGACAAATGAACGTCTATTTTGTCGTGATAACCTTATATATAAATAAAAACAAAATCTTATTGTAATGAATTATTTGGTGATGACATCTGCTGTTGACAACATAAAACGGTATATTTAGTTGTAGACTTATTAGTTTTCCGAAACTCAGACAGTTATCTGTTTTTTCTGTGCTAGAACTATATCACAACAAAAATACTAATGTACTGCTTTCGGCAATGCTATTTAACTCATTTATATTGAGAAAAAGAAAATGAAAATAATATAGACAAGGAGCTAAAATATTTCCTTTTATCAGATTCTAAGAATTTGTTGGAAATAATATTATTGCTGTTGAAAAGAGTTATAAACTATTTTTCTATGACGCTAAATGTTGACATATAGAGACATGTAAATTGACTAGTTCTATCACTATATTTTGTCGATTTGCCATCAACAATTGTAGAGATAAAAATGACCAATATTAGATGTGTCATATCAAATATTCTTTGATAATATCTTTGTGAATTGTATTCTTACATTGAACTTCTAAGTCTATAAGAACAAACTTGTTTCTTTATATCTACTCTTTAGCATGTATACATCAATATCGTATTCTTAAATATTTGGTTTTTTCTTCTATTTCGACGTTTCTATATTCCCTAGACTGAAAGGATAGGGTCTAGAAACGGAAATTCACGTGTGTCTGTCTGTAACACAGTTACCATATGGTAACAATGGCACAAATGACTATTTCTGCAATGCAAACGATCACCTCGCAATTATGGTGAAAAGAGGTGACTTAGTAACTATGGTACAATTGAGCATCTAGTAACTACAATTCAAACGACACGAGGAAAGATTATAAAAACATCATTCATCTAACCACTGCTATTGAATTTAACAGCCTAGTATGAACTATATAAAAGTGAAGTTTATGAACATTCGTAATAAGTTATTAAGTCTAATTGAATTTTGCGTAATCGTGTATAGATGAGCATTTCTCTGCTCTATAAATTATAACTTGTTGAGTACATTTGACCATAGAATTATGATAAATGAAAATCTTATTTTTGAAACTATGTTATAAAACTAATGTAATATGATTTTGTTTTGGCTGCAAGTAACGCTAAATGAACTATTTGGAAAAACGTGTACTTAATTTTGTCATAATCATCATCGAAAAGATGAATAACAATACAAATAGGAAAAATTCGTTGCATCAGGACAGTTTCTTTGACAATCTAGAACAACGACTATTAGAAATGGAATCTATCAGAAGTATGCAACATAATCTCACAAAATAAAAAAATATATAAGTAAATTACTTGAATTTTTAAAATTTTTCAAACGAGTAAAAATAAATTTTTCCGTGATTCATAATAATACTATCATTTATACGCTGAAAACTAGTCAATTGTAATAAAGATAATTGTTTTTTATACTATGTCTTGAAATACAGATTAATATTTATGAGGAGATAGATCATTAAACATCCATAAAAAAAAAAGTGATTTCCAATGAAATTCGGAACTGACTGAGAGCTTGTGTACACTTTAAAATGAATCATTTGAAGAAGAAACTACTAAAAAATAAATAAATGCAGATAAATGCATTCATCTCTCGTTATTTTCATCTTATTTATTTTCCACAATTTAAAAATGCTTTAGTAAGAGTGAAGTATCGTCGATGAAAATATTTCGACAATGAGTTAATAGTCTACTGTGCATTGATATTATTCCAACGTTTGAATCATTATAAGACATTTTATTCATATTTCCGATGGAAATTGTCTAAAAAATTTCATAGTACTAAGTGCAATAGTGAGCTTCAGGATAATATCATAATAGTGTCAACAGACAAAAGTTCATTGCCGAAAAATGGTGGAGAATTTGAAAGCACAAATCCTTATCTAGCATATACGTACTTAAGCGCTCAGTTTTCATCTGTAATTTTATTTAACGCATGTTTATATATAAAAGCAACTGCATAAATACCCATATCTCGTCAGTCTAGGAAGAAGTAAATCGACTCTGAATAAACGTTACTTCTTCATTTATGGAAACAATTTGTCAGTAAAATCGACTTCTTCAGAGCGCATTTCATATAAACTTTTCGTCGTTCTAGTTTCATATGCGTACTTGTTTTTGACATTTGTTTGAATCGTTTTATTTTTCATCATTTTCGTAGAATAATTAAAAAGAGTTTCAAACTAAATTATGCATAGATTTTTAGAAAATTCCACGTTGAATCTTTTGGTTAAAATAAGTATGTTGAGCAAGTGGACAAAAGACGAGAAAATTTGAAAATACTAAAGCTATAATTCTTTATAATTACCGATTATTTCTAGGATTAGTTCACAAATTTATTGTAAATTTTACTTGTATCGTCATAACGACAATAACTAGACAGCTGAAATTCTAGTATACAGTAGATCTGAACATCTATATTATACACATTGCGAACATGAACCTCTTCTACGCTTGAAACGTATCAGAAAAAAATATTGTTAGAGAGGATCAAAACCTATTTTACACTGTTTATCGATAATCACATAATGTCTCAAATGTTACCATCATATTTCTAATTCATATTACTCCATAATTGATGATTAACCTTAATTCAATACTTTTCTGTATTTATCTGTCACAGGAAATTTATGATTTTTTATTCATAAAAATAAAGTTCACCATCATTCTTAAAAACCTAGCACTTTTGATGGTAACATGAAAAAGACAATATGTTTTCACTGTTATACACTACTACGTAACATTTTGTTTTTTGTGCTATATTTACTTCAATGTCATACTCCCAATTCACAAGAAAAAAAAAAGAGATTAGTATTAGAAGCACATAAGCTAGTAGATGAGAATTCTATATATATCTTCATGGTTAATACGTGTATTGAGAATATAAGATGTCTCCATAAATCTTGAGATGAGACAAAATTATTTTATATGCAGATAAAGAATAAGCTCTGACCAGATGTTTTTATATGACTCTTGAGTACTCATGTCAATCATTCAAATGATATATTATTGGATAGTATCTTTTCTTGCAATGATAAAAATATAAACATTAGAATGTGATGATTAATTGTTTGCAATCGATCAACAAGATATTTTATTTTAAAAAAACGAAAAACATTCTTATACTAATTTAATTGCTCAATAAATGTTATTTAACAATTAAATATTTATTGTTCATCACTGATTTTTGTAATTCATCAGATTTCGTAGAAATTTTATCATTTATGACAATTGATATTTTTCTTTTATTCTTTTATTCAATGTAGTTTTTAGTTAGTTTTTCTAAAGCTTGAAAATGATTCTCTTCGTACTTTTTCTTTTAATATTCCTCATAAACTTATAATGAGCTATACATCAACAAATTTAGCGTCACTTTTTTTAGATAAAATTTGATTTTGTTGAATAATTCATCAAAATAGTTCAAAGCGTAATCTTTATTCTTTGTATTTCGCTCTACACGCGACATTTTCAGATATTTTATCGATTTCAATCCGATTACTGAATACATAGCTTGAGTGAACATATAACCAGTGAATTGTAATGAGCATCAAATAGATAAATAAAATAAAGAATTATGAGTTCCTACTGTGCTTTCTTAATATGCAGAAGTATTGAGTACTTTATTAAAAAATTATATTGATCGTTTGTGAAATATCTATCATCACATTCGTATGTTTAAATTTTTATTATTACACAAGAAGATATTATCCAGTTATATGTTATTTGAAAAATTGACATAGATACTCAAGGATAACCACAAAACATTTGGTTATAGACTATTTTTTATTTTTACATAAACTAGTTTAGTCGCGGTTCAAGACTTATGAAACATCGTGCATGACTCATGTCATCATTATGAAGTTTTAAATCATTCACATAAAAGTATTGGCGCAGAGTCGTATAAAAAAAGAATTTGTCTATTAGATTATCGTTTATATTACGAAAATGAATAAACAACCATGTAAAAATACGGCAAAGAAAAATATTTCAAGTTTATCTCGTTCATTAATTTAAATAAAAACAATTATCATCTTATTTCTTGAAGAAAAAAAACCAAAAGAACTATAAAAAACAAATATCATCTGGAGTAATCTAATTTTCTATTAATTGCATACAAATGAAAATTGATGCATACGTACAGTTCCATAATATTCGAAATATGATGTTAATGGCAAAGAAGATATAAACAAGTAGTTCCTATTTTACTATGTTATCTGTTCATGTATCTAGCATTCCTTTTAAATTGATGTAACATCAAAAGATAGAATTTCTACTAACTTATTGATTGAATAGAACTAAAATTTTATTTGACGATGAAACGAACCAGTCTGATTCTTCTCTCTAGAACTAACGTATGTAGTATATCTATCTATCTATCTATCTATCTATCTATCTTTCTAATCAAATAAAATATAGACAGTTTTAAAGTGACGAATGATAAGAAAAGAGTATTTTTATCTTGGATAAAAATGTTTATTCTTTTAACATTAATCTTTATTTTTCATTGTTGTTTCTCTAGTGAAAAATCTTATTTTGATATTGAACCATGTGATAGTAATCGTTGTCGATTACCTTATTGTTATTGCTCAAGTCAAGATATTCCAGGTGAATTAGTAGTACGTGATACTCCACAATTTATTGCAATAACAATTAATGGACCAATTGATGAAAAAACATATAATTTATTGAAAGAGATATTTTTTTCAAAAAAATATTATAATCCAGATGGTTTGTTTATTTATTTAACAAATAAAATGTGACTTTTCTTTTCTTTTTAAATTCTTTAGGTTGTCCTATTAGTGGTACTATTTTTCTTAAAAGTCA